TGGATGAGGCAGTGGGTAGTAAACAGGTAGGCACCTTGTCAACATGTATATCAAGTGCAGCCACACCGGGGATATAAAGCAACAGCCAATCATTTGAGAGAAGGATAAAGAAAATAAACCGAGTAATGCATAAGGAAACGTGAGCATATGAAATAAGTTGTTAACAGAGGATCCGAGATAAGTTCACGAGGTCAGAAAGTACATTTTACGGAAATAACACAAACACAAAAATGTTATGGAAATTAACTACGACTGGCTTAAGCGAGGTGTGCAAGTTTATAGAAGAGCGTGCAGGTGGACATTTATATGAGAAAGAAAAGCATTAGGACAAAATTGAAAACCCACCACCTGAAATAAAGAGACTTAGCATGCAAGCACGCGGTTAGTAAATCGAATGCAGCCTACCTACAAACGATGCGCTGGTTCTGCCTACGTTTTCTGCAGGACCCGTCGTCGCTTCGGTAGTGGTCCCGAGTGGCCTCGCTTATGGCTCACTAAGCCTGCCTGACTCAGGCACCCGCGACCGCATGTGGTACAGCACCATGCGCTTAATGTCGATAGAGTACAACCCATCGTTGCTTGCCGCTTCCCATGTTTAATACTACAAACATTAAAAATGACAAACAAAAGAGAAAAAGCGGCGTGTGAAAAACAAACTAAAAATGCTTTGTTCTATTTTTGGTCAAAATGTTCCATTCTTCCTGCGAGATATTAGCCGAAGTGTGTTGCTCACCTTCAACTACCATGCCACGATGATTATGACTCGATGATGGTCCCTTATCTGCTGACCTCCATGGTTTTATGTTGGCTCTATGTCTAGTTGATAGACTGCTGAGATTACGTACCTATCTACTGGTCTTCATACCCCAGTCACGTAAACTCGGGATGAGCCAGGTAGCAACAAGTTGCACCCGTTTGATATTTCGTGCGTCGCCCAAAGTAATCGAAAAGTAGGCGGGCGAACCGTACTCTAGCATTGGTCTAATGATGGAAGAGAAGAAGCGAGTGATAACCTCTTCAGACCATGTGCCGAAGCCACGTTTAAGCGACCAAAGCATGCGCAGTTCGTTACGATATAGCCTGTTTGTGTTGTCGTAGCGCGAGAGTACACCTAGGTCATTCACGGAGGGTGTGGGATATAGCGGTTGGCTATCAAGGGTGCAGGTTCGGCCGTCAGCACCCTTCCCCAGGCTCATCAATACAGACTTGGCTGGGTTGACAGGAAGATGAACTTCTGCAAACCATGTTGACAGGCGATTGAGGTCTTACTGAAGTACGCCACAGTCCTCGAGAGCGTCAATTTCTCTCCAAACCTTCATGTCGCCCGCAAACAAGGCACACGACGACCGGAAAAGCTGAGGAAGATCGTTGATGTGGATCAGGAACAGAGTGGGTCCCAGCACGGTGCATTGAGGCACGCCACTTGTAGAGGGATACCAGTCAGTTAGATAGTCGTCCACCTGTACCCTCCACTTCGTCCCACAAGTCGCGGATCCACCGGTACAGTGAGCCACCGACAACGCACATCCTGAGTTTGTGAAGGAGAACCTCATGGCTGATCTTGTCGAACGCGTTACAAAAATCGATTAATATCACGTCGACAGACTTCCGCTTGCTTACTGCCCTCAAGTACTCATGCTTCGTCACAAGCAGGTTTGTAATGCATGAGCGACCGTGCAGTGCGGGCATCAGGACCTCTTCTGACTGTACAAAGTGCATCAGTCCCTTATTCACGACTTTCTCAGCAACCTTTGCCAAAATAGGTGTCAGACGAATTGACCTGTAGTTTTCAACTTTACTAAGGTCGCCGCCTTTCGGAATAGGCTTTAGCACCGAACATTTCCAGTCAATAGGCAACGAACCATCGGATAGCGACCTGCTGAAAAGGTTAGTCACGAAACTAGAGATGATGGTCGAAAAAGATTTGAGAATCAGTGGATGAAGCCCAGCAGGTCCGGCAGGTTAGGTGCCATCAAGGCTGGCGAGTAGTGGAAATACCTCTTAAACGCCGCAATCCAGACTGTCGAGTTGGATAAAAGTGATACACGTCGAACTCGGAACAGGCATCTTGTCATTTGTAAATACAGAAGCAAAGTGCGCTGCCAACGCGGATGCACTCTCAGGGCTGGAGATTAGGGGCTGTCCGTCCGGGCTATCCATCAATGGCACATTACCTTCCAGGTTCAGGCATCGCTTCACGTAAGCAAAGATTCTCTATGGGGCAGTCTGCGGCGATTGCGAGCTGCTCTTCGAAAGGTCTGTGCTTATTCCTTTTTGCACTGTTGCAAAGGTTTCGCTGACTTTTATACCCTTCGTAGTCACTGGCAGAGCCAGAGAGGAGAAAGCTGTCCCACAGTCTGCGCCGCCTCTTAGCCAGATTTCCATATTCCTTGTCCTCGGTCCAACTTTCCGACATTTCAATGGCACAAATTAAGAACACAATGATGTCAATCTCTCTTTCATAAACATCAACACTTCCACAGATGCATCCTGAGACCAATCCAGTTACCTCAACTGATAATCCAACACGTGAAATGTGGTAGTTAACTTGGCACAAAACACGTGTGAGGGCATTTGCACGGTATCCGACTATCTTGGAATAAGTATCACAGGGTGATTGCTTCGGAGTTGTGAATAATTGGAAAATATAGTGGCGACTAACTGATGGAGAAAATGGCGATAGCAAGATCGTCGACACCAAGCGGCGAAAACACAAGTCTCTGGTCGAAAAATTCCGAATCAGAAATGAAAATGAATTGTATCTAAATTTTACGAAGTAAAATGAAACTTGGGCTCTACACCTTGTCATATCGCCGTGTTCGAGTGGATCTTATCATGACCTACCGTATTTTACATCTCGGTCATTTCCCCATGCTAAGGTCGTTACTCCACTTGCGAGTACCATGCACCACACGTGGGCACAGGTACAAACTCGTGGTACCTGATCTGAAGAAAATCCCACACCCCCTGTGTTTCGAGCGGAGGGTTGTGCACGCCTGGAACAGTCTGCCAGAACACGTTGTCGAGGCCGAATCTGTGCAGAAATTCAAATCTTTGTTGGATTTATACTTCGCTAACATACGTTTCAGAGAACGGTTGCCACTTGACAACGATATCACCCACTTGTGACTCACTGTGTAAACAAGTATTTTGTGTGCTACAGAAGGAGTCGCTGAACCATCTCAGGATAACCACCGGACGTGTTTATTTTTTTAATGTTTCTTGATTATCACCCGATGGAGTTGTACAGAATTATTTTCTACTTGCTCCAAAATACAGTATTCAGTATTCATCCTCATCAAACAGCAGTAAAATCGCAATCAGCCGACCATTCAGATATGTCGACCAGCTGTCCGGAAAAGCAACAGACGGCCGTTTCGCCCTATTGGGACTCATCAGTGGTGCGCATCCTTCGGTCCTCTGCGGAGGATCGAAACCATGACTGCTAGTGGCTCTTGCCAATTCACGATAGTCAGATACCGTCCTCCATGGCGCAGTTGCATAAGCTGCGGGCTAGTTGGAAAGAGCCACTAGCAGTCATGGTTTCGATCCTCCGCAGAGGACCGAAGGATGCGCACCACTGATGAGCCCCAATAGGGCGAAACGGCCTTCTGGTGCTTTTCCGGACAGCTGGTCGACATATCTGAATTGTCGGCTGATTGCGACGAACAAAAATACTCACCAAAATCCTTCCATTCATAAGCAGTAAAATCATCCGTTTTAGTAACGCTTCATCGTCTAGGATCTTTTCAACTGATGTGGCTTTGGAAGACTCCGGCATATGTACAAATATAAAGCAGCGGTTACGAGAGGGGCGATAGGAGTCATTAGATGCCTGTTGCTTAGGAGAAATCAATTTGCCCTTAAATTCTTCAGTTGAATGACACTAACAAGAAGCTGCTTAATCTCCAATTACGAAGAAAGCTTGGATTTGACACTAGACTTTGCTTTTGGCTTCGCTTCTCGCATGTCTGAGTTAGGGCTGCATGACGGCGCCGCGACTTCTTGTACCACAGATGAATAGGTCCTGACCAGAGGCGCGGCATGTTGACTAGGAACATTTGCTGAGATGTGGCACTACTTTGCTTACCGGTGGGTTACGAACCCACAACAGGGGGAAAAAGAATCCGCAGGTAAGACTGAGTACGGAAACAACGCAGTGTGAGGAAGAGGGACGGACTAAGCGCTGGTAAACCGGCAACCAGACGCCTGTTGCTGATTGTTATCCTGCAATAGTCACAAAAGAAGGCGATACCTTGAGAGGTCCATTTTAGCTGTCCATACAAGCCCGGACAGATACCATAGTAAGCAGCGTGAATCCAACCACTAGAGAAGGAACACTACGGTCTTGGATCGGTGATTGACACTCCTACTAGAAGCAACAGAAATCATGTAAAAATGACAGGCGACGAAAATCAGCGGAAATCAGAAAAAAAGCATCGTTCAGACGCAAGAAACAGGTCGGATAACAAGTCGCTACTCATGTGTAAAGGAACCAACGGGATAAGATATCGAGGATGACAAAAGCGACGAATGGAGACTTTTGTTAAACGTTAGACTCCAGAAAAAACCCCTCAAAGTATAGCACGGGAAAAATGCGCGCGTAAGAGAAAGATCGGACGGATGATTTGAAGTTATTAAAAGCTAACTGGGTGTTTCCATCCGGCAAAATGACGCGAGAACTTGCATCTTCTCCTCACACTATTTGTAATCAACATGCCACATATTTGGACTTTTGATGCTGTTACTTTTTCAAACCTTAGTAAAGGCCCAATTAAATAACAGACGTACTCGCCGGCTTTTAGGGAGCCCGTAAACAAAGTATGTTACGAAGGCACCTAAGTTTGCGAAGACCAGACCCAAAAGAAACCGCACCACACGATCTGCGAGCACAGAAACGTGGACGTCACAAAAGCAACTGCATCTGATCAGAAAGGAAAAAACGTCGGACCATGATATGTAAGCGAGTCGTTCAACAACAAAGCTAAGTCAAACTTCACCTGGTTTACGAGGAACGCCAGCAGGTATGACAACGATCTCGGATCCTTTGAGACATTCTTGTATTTCACTGGTATCTTGATGAGCGGTCACGCGAGCTGGGGTTTCAATGTGGCTCAGATCCGCTGCAACGCCTCTAACGTGGGCGATATCGTAAAGGGACAGTTGAGTGACCAATGGAGACTGTTTCAGTAGAAGAGACAAGGGCTGACCGATTCCTCCACTAGCACCTAAAACTGCTACCTTGTGAAAATGCTTAGGAAAACCATGGTAAACATTGTTCTCATACCTTTAAGGATGTAGAAAAGCACCTACGAGAAGGTACATAACGGCGCACAAAACATGCAGCTGAGAACATTTCACGTCGGGTCCAACGGGCTCACAAGACGTCAACGAAACAGAAACAGCCTTGATTGCTGGGTACATCTGCAGCTAAGCCACAAGGTTATTGTCCACATTTAGATGGCGATCTCAGGTGCATATGCACGCAACGTCTATGATACATGCATAATGAAGCTAGATTATGACGGAGAGACAACAACTGCTTGCTTACCACTTTAATTATACATGACAAATTTTCAAACGTTAACTTTTACTTTGTGCACTTTTTCAATTGTTTGCGAATGTTGGGCAGTTATGATTATGTAAATATTACGTTTAGTAGCTTTTAGGCTCACGCATTAAAGTTATAAGGCAGAGTTATACCGACAATTCAAATGCGCGCGTAACGTGAGAAGCCATGACCCTGTAATAGTACATACTAGTCACTCAATTCAAGGATGGGCTTTATGCACCCATGAATGGTGAATATTTAACTCTAACACACACGAAACGGGCATACCCAAGTAGTTCAAATTCAATTGGAGCCGGAACCGCAGAATGATCCCGTCCCTGCTAGCACGTGACGAAGAAAAATCTCCGTCAGACTGAGCAAAATCTTCGTTTTGCTTCGTCATTGGCGACGCGCTGACGAACCTTTACGAAGAAAAATCTTCGTAAAGGTTCGCCATTGACGAAGCAAAACGAAGGTTAATCTTCGTTTACCTTCGTCAATGACGAACCCTTACGGAGATTTTCCATCGTTTACCTCCGTCAGTGACGAACCTTTACGAAGGTTGGTCTTCGTTTTGCTTCGTCATTTACGAACCAATAGAAAGGCAGTCCGTCGACTTTCTATGTAGATGCATGATTGGTCCAAAATTAATACAAAGGAAGTTGTTCGATCTGTGTGTTCGATCTGTAGTCTGTGGTTGGCTGTGTTGCCCGCGTACCCGCTTTTGAGGAGGCGTCCGGGAGTAGAATGCTCACGGTAATCACGCATGTCATGGCTTCTACAGATATGCCGCTGTGGGATTTCTGCGTGGTCAGTTACACGCAAGACGGTGTGTCCCAGGTGAGCACAATTAGCAGCAGGTGGCTGTTGGAAGACGGGCAGCATGGTATTTTGCCCAACCTTCCCCTGTTCGATTACCATCAGGCGGTGCGCGAGCACAGATACCCCATTGCGGATTGCAAAATGTTTCCAGTGACGGTGCTTCATCGTACAGGTAAGCACATTCATTTAATCAATTGCAGTGCATTTCGATGACGCTCGCCTAGTGGAGAGGACGGTCGCTGATCAACCTCATGGGACGGACACGGATTGCACCATCCCCATGCAAACATCACCGTAACGAGTTGTGTAATGCGCTACACAAGTGATAACGCAATGCATTGCAGACGCCTGCCAGCGAGACTACGTGATTCTGGGGACGATAATCCACCAACAAGGAAAAGACGCAGTAACGCTCCCGCAGCTGCAAGCTACGGGAGGTACCCTGATTTCTCGTTAGAGGAGTTGGCGCGGCTTAGCACGCCTACTCAGAATGTAGATGACGTCCAGGAGGATGCCGACATGCGTAAGTTCTTATTATATATGAAAGCGTTACTGTGACGTCCCTTTTCCGCAGTAGGTCCCTGTAATGAGATAGCCATTCAAACGGAGGGTATCACATGCTGTAAGTCTTCACGTTCTGCGCTTTAGATACACGCCCTGGCAGGCAGGTGTCATGAAACAGTCAAAAGGGTTATGCACACATTGCACGCTGTGGTCGTTATGGAAGAGCTTCTTACTTGCGACGAACTCCGTCGAGAACTGGTAAGTCACCTTGGGGGATTTTGCATTCATGACTTAGACTACTCGCATGAACTCAACACCCGCGGGCACGGTAGCCGAGGCTGTTCTATACATGCTGGACAGGGTAACGAACAGAGATATCTTGCGGCAGCTAAACTTCGCCGGGGCCAACAATGCCATACCATTCAAGAAGACACACATTCAGTGCGCTTCAAGTTAACTCAGATAACCTTTTCCACATTACCTTCCTTCACAGAAGTTATCGTTAACCGCTTTGGGTACACGGGCAACGCCGTTGCGAACGGCGTTTGCAAATGGCTGCAGATTACCCGGAGCAACATGCACCGACGTACATCTGCCACATCCAGCAGTCATGATTCCCAGGTACTGTGTACTTTTAATGCCGTACGTAACGGTTTCCTTTACAGCCTTTGGAATTTATAGATTTGGACAATCAATGCATCCGGGAACCACCGACAAACACGTAATTATTTCCCTGCATAGTAATATACATTTGTAACCCTTTCCTGGTGTGCTTCAATTGTTGTCCGGGATTTCCGCGGATAGTATACCATGTCACCATCTCGGCGCGTATTGTGACTATGGCTTCGGACTACTGTGTGACTGGAAGGAAGGCACTTCAGGCCATGCTCTTTTATTTATCAAAAGCCAGGGAAAACTACGTTGCGCGGTTTCATATTTCGCAGTAGGTGAAAACCTACGCTCGTTCCCACTTCCATTAATACGTCTGCCAGCGTTGGCATTGTTGTGGGATTGAATGCCTCACCAAATCGGTATTGGCCCCCTGGTCATTTCGTTACGTAGTCGGACAGGGAGAGGGGAAATCCGGCTGCAAATACGCAATGGGTAAGTGGGCACTGTACTCTTCACAGAAGTCTGCTTATGTATTGTTATCAATTATTGTGTGTCGCCATTTTTATAACGTTTACAGGGCAGTGCACGGCAAACGTACTACCGTTCCCGGTAGGTTATGAATGGGAACCGTAAACACTAATAGCTTCATAGCGATTTGTTAGAATCATTTTGCCTAGGCCATAAGGGGAAACCTCTTCTTGTAGGCTTCGCGAAAGCCTTCGTATGTACTAAGGAAAACCTTCGTATTGGCTCGTCAATACGGGGAACAACGTTCGTACATACTAAGAAAAATCTCCGTATTGTTTCGTAATTACGGAGCGCAGCCTTCGTATTTACTGAGAAAAACCTTCTTATATACTTAGAAAAACCTCCGTATTGCTTTGTATTTACGAAGAGCAGCCTTGGTATTTACTAAGAAAAACCTTCGTATTGCGCCGTGAATACGGGGAAACGCCTTGGTGTTTACTAAGAAAAACCTTCGCATTGACTAAGGAAAACCTTCGTATTCGCTTCGTCATTACGAAGGCTGCGTTTCGTATTGACGGAGAAAAATCCTCGTTTACCTCCGTAAGTGCGGTCCGTCTGTCATGCGATTGGTTGCGTATGCCGTACGCAATCACGTACGCACCATAAACTGTACAAGCCATTGGCGGACAACTACCTTCGTATTCCTCGTGTCACTCAACGGCAAACACTAAGCTTTTACGAAGCGAAATCTCAGTTTACCTTAGTAAAACCTTCGTATATCTTCGTACTGTGTCCGGACACGTATGACTAAGAACAAACTTCGTATACCTCCGTATTTGCTAGCAGGGGTGAACGTTACACCTTCGAACTCATCAGATTCAGATTCAGATGGACTGGAACGATGTGAAAATCCCTTGAGTGTCCCTTCTTGAGCAAATCGTTGAGCCAGGAAATGACAAGGTGCTAGGTCTTAATAGATATAAAACAAAAATACGAAACACACAATGATCAACCAAGTACTGCCCATGTTCCCTGCACTAGCAGTCCCCGCTGTGTAGGTTACGTGAAGTAAGGAAGAAGTAGAAAGTAAATTTAAGATAAAGGGGAATGAAATTTATTTAAATGAAGGATAACACCAAAGAGTGAAGTGAATGACAGAAAAAGAACTAAAAGTTTGAAGATGGATATGGTCAGGAGAAGGGAAAAGTTTCGTGTTGCCACCCATGCGCGTCTAACTGACGCTGGAAACCCTTAACCGTAAGTTCACCATCTGGAAGCGAGTTCCAGCGCTCGATAACTTGACGCGGTAACCGAGTTTCCGCCTTGATCCGGTCAGAACGCGGCTTGTATAGCTTCATGAAATGATCGCGAAGACAACGCAACCTAGCCGTGCTAAATGGCCAGCTCAGGTCCGGTCCAACCTTCCCTGTTAAAATGCGGTAAGTAAGGATTAGATCTCCTCGAAGCCGTATGTAATGCATTGAATACATGCCCAAGCTAAGTAGACGCCCGGGGTACGATTGCACCCGCAACCCCTCGAACAATTCGGTACCATCTCTCAAAACCCTCACAAGCTCCATTTTGTCCCGAACAACATGGCATGCGGTGGATTGAGCTGCCAAAGGACAGCCCGATGAACACAACGATGCACATGCTGGATCAAACAATACTCATATGCCTTGCATTAGCAGCCCCTGCTGTGTTGTCCATGTGAATATAAGAAAACAAAAAGGAAATATGGGGATTGACAAGCTTACCACATTGCAAATGTAATATTGAGATGCAAGCGAAAATGAATTAAGTAGAAGTAGTAATAAACGAGTAAAGTTTAAGGAAGGGAGGGAGATTTTTCAAAATTTAGTCCAAGGGCATTCCGTCGATTTTCAAACTCTTTCCTCGGCGGTGCCCTTACAACTTCTGCGGGCAGTATGTTCGAATAACCAATGCCGCTACGCGAATCAGGTTCAGCTGGGACTGGAACGATTAGAAAATCTCTTGAGTATTTTTTGAGCGGATCGTTGCTTCAGGGAATGATAAGGTGCAACGAGGTCTTGATGAACCTGAAACGAAACACCCAGAAAACACCCTGGTCAACCAATTACTGCCCCCGTTCCCTGCACTAGCATTCCCCGCTGTGCAGAAAGAAAAGGGAAGCATATGAGGAAGAAAGTCCGTTATATGAAGAAGAACCAAGCGAGTGAGAAAAATGACAGATTATGGATTCAAAATTGAAGATGGATATGGTCAGCAGAAGGGAAAGGTTTCGTGTTGCCGCCCAGGAGCGTCCAACTGACACTCGAAACGCTTAACCGTAAGTTCACTGACTACACTTTTTGGAAGCGAGTTCCAGCGCTGGATAACTCTATGCGTTGGCCGAGTTTTCGCCCTTAGCTGGCCAG